AGTAAGATCGGGTTACCCGATTGTGTAAAAATTAGTATTATTTTACAACGGAAAAATTCTGAATTACACTTTGCTAATCAAGAAGAAGGACCTACCATATTGGCATGTTGTTGTTTATTAATTCACGGCTTCTTGTGTTGATAGAGTTTGCTTTACGGTGTCAAGTCTCTAGCTTCATCTTGTTTTTAAGCTATTTTTATTATTGGCCGTTAGAGTTATGGAATTATTTTTACTCCAGCTTATTATACGTTTACTAAAGATTCGTACCCAAACAAAAAATAAGGATTGACTAATGATCACTTCTGTTACTTGATTCTGATTAAGGTTCCTTAGCATGGAATCGAAACTATAACATGACTCTTTATGTACTGTTTACACTTTTCTGTTTCGTTTCGATAACTTCTGTTCTCGGGTAGCACCGGGTACACATTTCATGTGCTGGACACACGAAAACTACTGTGCAGCCGAGGATAAAGATCAAACAAATGTTTAACACACACAAGATACAAGACTAAATAAATGTTTTATGGGAAAAGGGATAAAATTGCTCCTTCAAAGCACAAAAAGCTTTATTTTCATATTTTGTAGAAGTTTTCATACAAAATCATAGTTTTTATAAAGATATAAAAAATTCCTAAAATTTTCTTTAAAATAAACTAATTAATAAGCACTATATTTTTCGTAACGAATTTTGAGGCTATATAAATTTGAAAATTTAATCATCTTACCGAAAATATCGAAAAAAATAATTTTCTAAAAAGTGACTTTAACCTTCTTATGTTAAAACTACTTATTCGTATTCACCATAAAATAAATAGATTTATCAAGATTAATTTTTAAATATAAAAAAGGAAAATTCGTAAATCATTTCATTAATTAAGCTTCTTCATATAATCCCCAGAAAGCATGGGCTATATTTGACCCCCCGGAAAGCAATATCAAGGAAATCAAACCCTTTAATAGTTCTGAAAAACATGTAAGCTTACCTTACATACTTAAAGTATGTTTGAAAAATATAAATTCATTCGATATCTTATAAATTATAAAAGAATTAATAATTGTTTTGGTTAAAATAATTTGGTTTAATAGCAAGCATGAAACATTATAACCTAATGATCCTTAAAAACCTATACGGTTAAATAGATTATTTTAAGTCGGTTAAAAATTGTACTAATGCGTACATGCTTACTTTTTTTTATACGTCGTTAGTAGCAAGTTGATAAAACTATGATGTCTTGAACATACTCCTATATCAACCATTTCAGTGTTTAGAACAAGTGAAAAACGTTCAATAATTGACTATTATTCTACTAGTGTTTCCCAAACTTTTGTGTACCCTTTCTACATTTTTCGTAACGCTGTGTACCACTAATAAAAAAATGAATGTATTTTTTTTAAAAATATCTTTATTTTTCTTTTTTTGGTACAAAGTTCTGTTAATAAGTTTAATTGCATCAGTGAAAAGGATGATATTGCTCTTGCTGTGTTAAAAAAATTGCACAAAAGTCAAAAATCACAAGTGGCAGTCGACTCTACCAATTATTAACTATTAACTCAGGAAAAATATCCAATACAAAATAACGTAATCATAAATTTTCATGGCTAGCTTTGTTCTTAAATAAAATTTTCGTAAATTTTCGTTTCTTGTAAGATATTTCGCATAAGAACCCCCGCTAAACTGTTCCCGTACCCCTAGGGGTACGCGTACCACACTTTGGGAAACACTGACTTACGGTTTAAAGTGAAAAATTCTGCACCATCCTTGCTATAGTTTATGGAATAATAAATTTATCAATTTCTATATACTTTTTATTTGAACCCTTGTGGAAGCACCTCCTAATGTAGTGTTTTTATGCACTGAAAAAGTTAATAAACACATTAGAACAAAACTAAACTACACGTAGAAAAAAGCAGAAATATCTAACAGGCATATTATAAACAGAACATAAACATATTATAGATAGATTATATATTTAGATATGTTATAAACAGTGCATAACAGTACATATTATAATTTTGATTCTATAATGAAGAACCTTCATCAGAGCCAAATAAGACAATGAAAGAGTGAAACACAAAGATGGCGAATAAAATAATAAATTCAATGTAAAGAAGGGATTAACCAATAGGTGAAAATGAACCAGCCTAAATGAGATAATCAAAGGAAGGATTAAGAGAAAAAATTCGGGTATGGTGGGTGATGCTTGAGAACACCCAAATCTCACAAAACGTAGAAATTAAATGAGAAGAGGATAGATTTCCTAAGGTTTGGTAAAAGTGGAATGATGGAAAGGTGATTAACTAAATTATCAGAATTTTTTTTTAAATTAATAATTTTTAAAAGTCAAGATCAGTTGCTGAAAAGCAGTTTAGAATGATTTTAGAAAAGGACTCAAACTTATGATTATAATTAAAGCGATGGAAGATAGTTTAATGTACGAATTTTGAACATATCACTTATGTTCATTGAGTCGAAGTGTCAGAATGCATTTAGTTTACTAAATTTACTCAAAACCACACTGACAAGAAATTTGAAAATTATTAGAGATTTTAATGTTGGTGAAATTTATTTATTTTTCATTGGAAGAAAATGACTTCATTTTCAAATTTGTGCGCTATCGAATTATTTCCATTAGTTTTAATAATTTACTTTTGTTACGTACTATGTGGAAACGAAAATAAAACGAAGTATCAAGGTTTATTCGGGAAAAAGAATAGTTGAAAAAAAATTTGTTTGAATTTTGCTAGCGAAAAAATTGGTTTTATTGTAAATAATCAACCTGCAATAGTAAACAAAAGTAATATTTTAAGAACTTGTTTTTTGTCAATTACTTTTAGGTCGTTTTTTTCTTTCAACTCTGAGTATTGTGGTTTCTAAACTTAAATTTATTCAAAATGTAGTAATTTGAGAACTAATTCTGGGATTATATTTTACCATATTATCCCAGAATTAGTTCCCCGAAAAACGATCTAATTATTAAAGATTTTATTATAGAGTTCATTGGATAGTGAATTAGTTTTTTATTGATAGAGTCAATCATATAGGTAAAAAAATTCAAACAAATCAAACTTTAACATCTTTTTATGGAGTTTTGCTAGGTAAACGAATTTTCAATTGAATATTGTGTCATTTTCTTTTAAGTTAAAAAAAATTTCAAATGTATCAAAATTTAACATCTCTCCATAAATATTTGTTCAATTTCAGAATTTTCCCTTTCATTGGGTGCTATTGTTTTTTAAGTTCATAAATTCAACTGTGCTAAACTTAGCGTTACGCTATACATTTATGCTCTGTTTTAAAATTCCCTTTTTCATTCAGCGTAACTTTCTTATAAATTAAAAAATTGAAATGTATAAAACTTTAACAATACTCTATAGATATTTGTTCGATTTTAGAATTTTCCTCATTCGATGCTATTTTCTTGTAAATTAAGAAATCCAAATCTATCAAACTTTAACATTACTCTATAGATATTTGATCGATTTCAAAATTTTTCCTTTCATTTGGTGCTATTTTCTTGCAAATTAAGAAATTCATGCGGATCAAACTTTAACATTACTTTATAGATATTTGTTTGATTGGGTACTTGCACTTCAAGAAAAAGAAGACTTTCCATATCCACACATGTGACCCATGATGTCAACGCCAACTAATCTTTATCAGCAAAATGGCGTATTAAAGTTGAGCTAAGTTTCTCTACATGAGTTGGAATATTATTTGAAAATTAATTAAATATAGAGCCGTATCTCACATCGGATCAGTAGAAATATAATTCCTTCTCGTCAACTTCTTTTACTTAACTTAGCTTTATTATTTGCTTATGTATTTTATTGTAACCGTGATACATTTTTGTTTTGTGTACCTGGCAACTTCGACGTATAATTAGTTTGTCTATGTTCTACATGGCTTCTCTTTGTATTAAGCCTCTGTGTAAACATATAGTGAAAGAATTGAAATCTTTGAGAAAGAATGCTTGTGAAGGAATTTAGAATGTGTCACTTAAGAGAATTGATACTTGATAGGCTTGGCATACTCGAAATAGAATGGAAAGAACAGTTGCTAGCATAAACAAATGCCACGTTACAACAACCAATCAGGAACGAGATACCAACCCTACGTCACTAGCATGTATGCAAAATATTCTCTTTCATTCGGTGCTATTTTCTTATAACTTAAAAAATTCAAATGTATCAAATTTTAACATTTCTTTATAAATATTTGTTCTATTTCAGAATTTTCTTTTTCTTTTGGTGCTTTTTTCTAATAAATTAGGAAATCCAAATATATCAAACTTTAACATTACTCCATAGATTTGTTCCATATCAGGATTTTCCGTTACATTTGGTGCCATTTCTTTCTAAGTAAAACATTTCAGATGTATCAAACTGTGTCGTTACTCCATAGATTTCGTTTTCAAGGGCAGTTTAAAACTATCTTTATTTCTTACAAAAATAGATAGCAGCCAAAGTCAATATTAAAACATATCACTTTTGAGCAGTGGACTGTCACAGCATTAGAAAAAGTAATTGTTCGCAACTATGCTATTACGTCAAACGATGACGGTTATATCGATACATCAAATGATTAATGAATGAGTGTCTCTGGAAAGTAAGAGGAGTTAACACGTGATCGATAGAGTCAAAAACGATTTGGCAAACCGCCATCGTTGAGGAATTGCGTTGTTTCATGGAACAAAAGGCTGATTTATTTTAAAATTCTTTGATTATAGTTTACATAATAGACTGTTTTGTCTAAAAGTGTCCTGCGTGTTACAATGTTTTATGAAAATGCATTGTAGCTGCAGAAATGAAAGGCAATTTTTCAAATGAAATTTAGCTACTAGTTATTAATTTGAAGCTATTATCGAGTCTAATTAATAATCGGCTCCTACAGCTGATAATTCTTTTTTATTAAATAATTGTTACCTAAACAAAGTTTTTTTTATGAGTCTATGATAGAGATTTTGGGTGAATTCTTTTGAAAAGTAAGTTCCACGTAAATGCATGGAAGAAAGTCAAGTAAGCCAGTTGATACTTCAGTAATTCTAGCACTTTACTAAAGCAAATTACGGTATAATATTTTATTGTAAAAATTGATTTTTTGGTAAAAATGTATTTTATGGTAAAATGAATGCTACGGTTTTGAATTTTTTAAGTGCCGGCACGTCGCAATATCATAATTTGATCCGGAATATTTTACAGTGTATTTGTTAGTGTGTCGTATAAGTTAAACTTATGATTGTGGGCTAAAAACTTTCAATTCGCTTGAGAAATTTCCGAAATATAGCGAATTGCGCAGGTAGTAAAATTGAAAATAAGGGCCCCAAACTTTTGACTGCTCTCCTGCCGAAGCCCTTGGGACCATATTTTCCGGATTGTGACTTTCCTTCAGATTTGATGGTCAAAAATCAAAATCCGTTGAAAAAAAGGCCATGTTTATTCAAAGAAATCTCGTTTTTATGTCATTTGATTAACTTATAACTAGCAGTTAGTACTAATTAATAGAATTGCCATGAACATTACATACTTTCCAGTTTCTTTCTTTTTTCTCTGAATTAAAAATTCGAAAGGCCGCAGACAGTGTTTTACTGCATTTTGTTTTACTGCGTAGAAACTATATAATTGATTGATTGATTGGATGTAGAATTCAATAGCGCTAGATTCACAAAATTGCATGCTTCGCTAAACAAACTGTTTAAAAACAAACCAAAAGTGAAATGTATACTACAATTTTTTCTTACTAAAAGACATAAAATTGATGTAACTGATATACTGCGATTGGTATAACAGGGGGGAATGGTAATTACATAAGACTTGGAAACTTGAAATTGTTAAGGTCTATGGAAAAGTGCACAGGTATTATGATGGAATATTTAAGGAAAAAGATGCAGATAAATTTTAAATGCAAGTTTAAATGGTAAAATACAAAATTAGAACGAAATTGGGCTGATAGTCGAATAGTCAGAGAAATCGAAATTTTAAAAATACGACTTTTTTAAAAATTCAATATCTCAGGAACTATTTGACCTATTTCATTCAAATTTTATATTTTAGCATTAAAAATTGCAATTTTGAAAGAAAATAGTGAAACATTTGCATACGTAACTATCCAAAATTGTTTCGACTATTATTAAATAAAGAAAAAAAGAAATATCTATATTATATAAAACGCTAATACGTATGTATCAATAAAACCGATGATNCCTCGAAAGAAAATGAGAAAAGTTTCTCCTGCTGTGTAGCGTCCTCGAAAGAAAATGAGAAAAGTTTCTCCTGCTGTGTAGCGTCCTCGAAAGAAAATGAGAAAAGTTTCTCCTGCTGTGTAGCGTCCTCGAAAGAAAATGAGAAAAGTTTCTCCTGCTGTGTAGCGTCCTCGAAAGAAAATGAGAAAAGTTTCTCCTGCTGTGTAGCGTCCTCGAAAGAAAATGAGAAAAGTTTCTCCTGCTGTGTAGCGTCCTCGAAAGAAAATGAGAAAAGTTTCTCCTGCTGTGTAGCGTCCTCGAAAGAAAATGAGAAAAGTTTCTCCTGCTGTGTAGCGTCCTCGAAAGAAAATGAGAAAAGTTTCTCCTGCTGTGTAGCGTCCTCGAAAGAAAATGAGAAAAGTTTCTCCTGCTGTGTAGCGTCCTCGAAAGAAAATGAGAAAAGTTTCTCCTGCTGTGTAGCGTCCTCGAAAGAAAATGAGAAAAGTTTCTCCTGCTGTGTAGCGTCCTCGAAAGAAAATGAGAAAAGTTTCTCCTGCTGTGTAGCGTCCTCGAAAGAAAATGAGAAAAGTTTCTCCTGCTGTGTAGCGTCCTCGAAAGAAAATGAGAAAAGTTTCTCCTGCTGTGTAGCGTCCTCGAAAGAAAATGAGAAAAGTTTCTCCTGCTGTGTAGCGTCCTCGAAAGAAAATGAGAAAAGTTTCTCCTGCTGTGTAGCGTCCTCGAAAGAAAATGAGAAAAGTTTCTCCTGCTGTGTAGCGTCCTCGAAAGAAAATGAGAAAAGTTTCTCCTGCTGTGTAGCGTCCTCGAAAGAAAATGAGAAAAGTTTCTCCTGCTGTGTAGCGTCCTCGAAAGAAAATGAGAAAAGTTTCTCCTGCTGTGTAGCGTCCTCGAAAGAAAATGAGAAAAGTTTCTCCTGCTGTGTAGCGTCCTCGAAAGAAAATGAGAAAAGTTTCTCCTGCTGTGTAGCGTCCTCGAAAGAAAATGAGAAAAGTTTCTCCTGCTGTGTAGCGTCCTCGAAAGAAAATGAGAAAAGTTTCTCCTGCTGTGTAGCGTCCTCGAAAGAAAATGAGAAAAGTTTCTCCCGCTGTGTAGCGTTCTCTTAAAAAAATGATAAAAGTTTCTCCGCTGTATAGCGTCCTCGAAAGAAAATGAGAAAAGTTTCTCTCGCTGCGTAGTGTTCTCTGAAGAAAATGAGAAAGGTTTCTCCCGCTGTGTAGCTTCCTCTAAAAAAATGAAAAAAGTTTCTCCCACTATACAGCGTCCTCTAAAGAAAATGAGAAAGGTTTCTCCTACTGTACAGCATCTTTTTAAGAAGATAAGATCTTGCTTAGATGGAATTTTCTGCCAGGAGATAAGAATTTTTTCTTTTTATAAAAGACACTATTTCTCATAATTTACTTCCTATTTTGTTTAAAAAAATAAGGATTGATTTTCCTATTCACTGAAGATATTTCTTCTAGTAATCCTTCTTAACCGTAAATATTACCGCTTAATTTGTGAAAATCCAATCATTAGAACAAAAGTTATTTAAGGTGGTATCTTCTTTATTTTACTCACTGAACTTTTTGTAAACTATAAGGAAAATAGCATCTTGTTTTTAAATATTGTAGTAGTAACATTTCTTTGTTTCTTTGGTTATACAAAAAATTAAGCCTAAAAACAATTTTTACTGTTCTATTTTTCCCAGTATAAATTATATAGCAATAAATACTCTCATTCCAATTAAGTTTCTCATTGCATTAGCTAAAAATGTAAAAATTCAATCGATTTTTTGAAAGAGATGGGAGTGTCATACCAATTACATTTTAAAACGCAATACTATTTTTACGATTCAATGTGATTTAAATAAACAAGGTCTATAATTTATTTATTTATTTCCCAAATTCGTTTTTATTGGTTTTATTCAGTCCGAGATATCGTCACAATAAAAATATTTTGCGTGACAAAAATATATTACTGAATCGTTACACGGTAGCTGTAACTATTGAACTGAGAGCAAAACGGAAAAATCTCCCTAGTTATGAGTTGATAACTGTGACCCGTTAAAAATCCGAATAGTTTCTTCAGTTTACAACTTAAAAGTCAAAGTTGATACGGGAAGAGCGGTGTTAATTAATTAAAAATTTTATCTAGTTATATTGTTTGAACATCAAAAGTAGGGGACGCAAAATGTGAATATTATATAATTTGAAAAGAGTGGATAGGGATTTAAGTCTTTTTGTAAAGATTATTATTTTATTTAATTTTAAGACTGTTCGTCCGTATCAACTATTTTTAAGCTTTTGTTTAAATTTTATGAGGATTCCTAAGCACGATACTGATTGGGTTTATGTTTTTACATTTAAATTTCATCACTTTTCATAAACTTATTTCATAACTAATTACTTTTAATCTGACTTTTATTTAAATTGCATTGCGCTGATGAAATTACTACACACAAGATCTTGCTATTGAAGAGTTAGCAATTTCTTTAATTATAAGTCTATGGCAAAATCACTACAGGACAAGGATTATCTAATTATTTTTTTATTTTATTTTTATAATCAGTGTTAACCTCGTTCTTAGTTTACAAATATCGTTTATATCATTCCTGAAAGAAAACATTTTAAGGTCTGTTTAGATTTACAATATTTTAAACATAATTTACACTATCGAACTGCAAATTGAGAATGCAATAATTTGTTCACAATTGTGTATCTAATTGTTTTGATGTAAGGCAGAAAGTAGCGTGTCAACAAGTACTAAAACTGGGTTCGTAAACTAAAGACTTGAAGAGTAAATTGGATGCACAAATGTATACTCCCAATTTATCACCAAATTTAGTTTTTTGATTTTAACACTAAATTTCGTGATAAATTGGTGGATCAAAATTAGTTCACCAATTTACCACCAAATTTAGTGTTTCACAGCTAAATGATGTCCGAAAATTTCAATAAACTGTATTTTTGTATTCGTGTCATATTGAGAAAACTTCGGCCTAATGTTTTTTTTTTCAAATCTCAATGATTTATAACGTTTTTTTCTTCTTAAATGGTTAAAAAAGTAATTGAAATTTTAAAAAAAATTCTTGTAATCTTACAAAAAATCGAAACGAATAATTTATTATATGTCAATTAATAAAAGCTTATCTGTAATGAAATTAAAGAGAGTAGGCTAAAAAAAAACAAATTTTATTCTTAAATATATGTGCATTATTTGCATTCTGGTTTCTTTAATAAAATTCTGATTTTTCTAATGAAAAGTATATTAAAAGTTTCTCATTTTTATATGGTACCAGCTGAAAATACTTGTAAGGTTGTAGACTATTTTTGTCAAAGGCACTTAAAACCTTCTTCCATTTTAAAAAAAAAAACTCTCAAAATTTGTCACTTACTAGGGGGCAACTAACAAATTTGTAGCTTAGCAACAATGAAAAAGAAAATCTGATATCGACGGAGAAAATCATTTTTTTTTATCAAACCCTTTTCAATTCGGAGGTTGATAAAATGAACCCTAAACAACACCGAGTGTTCTGTACCTTTATTCTCTGAGATCTATGAAATTCTAAGAAAATTCATAATAAATCACTGCCGTTTTAAGACATCTTTGTATAGATCTCAATTCTTCAATATATCACAAATTTCAATAAATTCACTTAGCAGCATTTTTTATTGATCCCATCTCACAATTTTTGTCCATATACTTTTTCAAGTTTCAGCAAATCACACTGCTTCGGAAATATAGTCATTAAAATTTTTATAATTAAATACTTTTACAATACCGAATATTATTTAAATTAATACTGTCGGATGAATTATATTTAAATTCTTTTTAAACGTATAAAAAGTAAAGATTTAGCTTACAACTCCTCGTAAGGCAAAGTGTAGGGCACAATTGCATCTGAAATTAAAATTTAAAAAAAATTCAATTCTTTATTACCAAATTTGAAAAAAAAAACAGTAATATGAGCTTATAACAAATGCTACACTGGGTCGGCAGTGGTGGCTCAAGGCATAGAGCGCTCACCTCCCAATGAGGTGAACCAGGTTCGAATCCCGTCGAAGACTGGTTTATTCGAATTCCACTCTCGGCTCTCATCGACAACAGTGCTGACGTAAAATATCCTCAGTGGTAGATTGATCATTGGATAGATTGCCGTCAGCTAACCATGAGATGTTCTCGTGGTCTTCCTCTATAAATTCTGACGCAAATGCGGGTTAGTTCCATCAAAAAGTCCTCCACGAAGGCAAATTTCTGGATTGGGTTCAAAATTACAAAGCTATGGAGTTGAACATTGGTAGCCGTAAACTGAAAATTTGGTCTGTTGTTCAATGACGGTTAGAAAATAAAATGTTTTACTGGTTGTATGACATTTAATTAAACTCCAAATTAATAATATTTATTTTTAAAAATTTAATCTATAAATAATTCAATGAGAAAGTAAAAACACTGCTTTTGATGTGTTAAAATTTAAGTAATTTTATCATGATACCCTAGAGTAATAGCATCAAAACTGCTTATTCGGTCAAATTTACTTTTCAGTTTTGTATTTTTTACTAAATGGTTGGTAATAAAAACTATATTTACTATATTATAACTATGGTTGGTAATAAACCTGAATTTCCGGTTAACCGTTAGCATTGAAGGGATAAATTAGAATGGTTTAAATACCATATATTTTAGTTTTAATAACCAGAATGGAATTTTTTTTCTTACCAGTATTGTGATCCCCATATTTTAACTGCAATTTTAACAGAAATTGTTCTGCTCTGTGTATACTAATCAATTGTTGGTATTTTGCAGTTCATTTAATTGAAGGAGTTCACTGTAAATCAATAACCTATAATCAGTACTGCAAATCGATAATGTGAGATCAATAAAGAGTATATTTGTTACCGTTAAAGTATGAAATCCGTTATTTTATAGAATACCTAGTTATTCCATGAAATAACTGATTGTGTCCGTTAAAGTGTAAAACTCTCTTGTATTTCATGGTTTAACTAGTTATTTCATAGAATAACGATCTACAGCCCGTTAAAGTGTAAAAAATCTGTATCATATATCTCGCACGACAAATACATTTACCTTCCACCCCTAATTGTAATTAAAAAATGTTCGTGTAAAATACAGTGTGTCAACAAAAAATGTTTTTGTTTTAGAAATAATGTTCTTTGTAATTCCAAGTTTCATTTTAGTAATCCTTGTTGTAACAAATGATTTTATGGTACGTTTCCATAAATACCATTTATACGCTGCATAAATTAGATAAATTGCTTCTTTTTCGTTTTAACTGTCTCTCATTAGTTAATTTATAGAATACCTAGTTATTTTATAGAGTAACTAGTTAAAGTGTCAAATTAATAACATCCACACTTTAACAGACACGATCAGTTATTTCATGGAATAACTAGGTATTCTATGAAATAACAGCATTATACGGTAACATATTCATATTAAGGAAAAGAAAAACATGATACTATAATATATACAATAAAAAAATTTAAAAACTGTGTTAACTATGAGATTATTATCTTTTTACCATAAAATGATTATAATTAAAGGTTAACTCTGACAACAACCGACCCAATTTAGAGTTTACGACTACTATTGTTCAACTTTGTAGCCTTGTAATTTTGAACCCAATCCAGAAGACAAAAGAACTCCTGGATCAATCAAGTATTGGTAGAAATTCGCCATCGAGGAGGATTGTTTGATAGAACTAACCACATTCGCGTTACATAGAGAGGAAAAACCACGGAAAACCTCCACAATCAGTCTGACTGCTAGAAGACTCTAATCCATGATCCGTATACCATCTACTACTGAGGATATTTTTATGTCAGCACTGTGGTCGGTGTGAGCTGAGTGCAGAATTCGTTTCAACCAGCCATTGCTGGGATTCGAACTCTAGTGACCTCAATGAGAAGCGAGTACTCTATCCCCTGAGCCACCATGACACTTGCCTAGGCATTGTATACAGACAGTGTTTGCGCAATGTATACACTGAAAAACACTATTGAGACAAACTATGAATTATAAGAGCCACGGATAAGAAGGGAAAGTATAGTTTTTTTTCTCAAAAATTTATGCACTATTAAAAGTTATTGCACTGATTAAAAAAATA